AGCAGTTTTGACCTTCTGAGTCTCATCAGCAGTTTCAGGCTTGTTAAACAAAGGCCGTTGGATTACCAGATCTTATTGGCAAGAGCACTCTATTGAAATTATGGGGCCCCCGTTCAACTCACAAAGCAATGAGTTTGAGTAGTGCATAGCGGATTGGAGTTTGTTTAATGTATTTAGGGAAGATTCAACTCGAAAAACAAACTCTTCTTATCTTGTAGATCCTGTACCTCGACAATCTGTGTCCCCCGGCTGTCCGAGTGAATCTTTCTTTTCCATGGATAAAATACTTTAAAGTTGCGGTCAATCACGTAATGATGACACTATAGTGACATCATTCCATATTATTTAATAGCATGTTAGTCCAGTGATGTCAATGGAGTGCTCTGTGTGAGCGTTTGACCACGATGTAAAGTTTATTTTCTTATTAACAAAACTTAAACCCTCGTGCCAGACAGATTAGGATGCAGAGCTTAGTCACATATTTGGGAGCTAAGGGCTGTTTGTTTTTGGGTTGCACCTTGCTTAATTTTTTTAATTTCAGGAATGTAAAGCGTCATAAAAAACTGTTTAGATTTTTACTTTATTTCACTTTCTCGTATCTACAGCTCTTGCTAATTTGGTTTAACGTCTATACTACTCAGTACATATTTCCCAGTCGCAGTTTTAAATTTCACACCATTTTATTTGAATCGTTTTGATTCACGTTACTGGACACTTATTCATGGTAGTTTCCCCAAGAAGCAGAATTATCGACTGCATTTGGTTTTTATTATAAATTTGGTACCTAACACAAACTAAGCGTGGAAAGTAAACCATTTATGTTTGTGCGTAACGTATTCAACAACGAAGGAGGACTTAATTGTAACAGTGGCGAGTTTTGGAAGATGCCAGCGAACCTGAGAAGAATTTTAAAAAGAGCCGTGCACATTTGAATTCGCTCCAAAAGTAAAATTACACTTTATTGCGAGCCGGTAGCGAGGTTCTGGATTTTCATTACATTTCATTACATTAATCACATAATAGAAACATGAAATCCTCTTTCGAGTGCCAAATAAAACATTTAGCTTTGCTCCTGGCTATCGGACTACGAGTGTTGAAACACGCAGGATGGTCTGCCATCAATAACGTCACCTCCATTTCCTGAAAGCAGCTGCAAAGAAAAACTATATAATTCAATAATTTATTTACCTTTAAATGTTATTACTTTGGGCTAATCTCCTCTAAAGGCAGTAATGTAATATGTGCACGGCCTCCGAGTGTAATCGGTGTAGAGAGAATAGGAAGATAAATGTGCGAGAAGATTTCTTGCTCTCCTTACTGAATGGAGAACACACCCCAAGCCAGCCCTCATTCATGCCTCCTCCATCACCACCACCACCTACTGATTGGGTTACACTTTAATTCGCAATTACGGGATAAGGGGCAATTTATGCTGCTGGAACGTTAATGATTGATCAGATAAGGGTCATTCTGGCAAAGCGTGGGTGTTTCCAAACGTGTCTTTGTGCCGGTGCTTGCAGTGGGGGAAATAAGAAGAAGCCTCAGGAGGGAAGGGTTCCCCTGCGTTAAACACTTCCCCGAGGAATGCTGACCGTGCGCGTGCGTGCGCAGTCGCCAGACACTGCCGGCCAGAGAGCGCGCGGGGGAGCGTTACACCCGCGGTCAAAAGTGGCACCAAGTAGCCCTCGCGCGCCTTCAAGAGGCTGTTAACAGCCGCACGAGTGGCTCGCATCGGTCCCCGTAACAAAAACGCCGCTCTGGAAAACGAGCGGCGTGAGTCACGTCGGGAGATGAGCTCGCGTCTCCCTCTTCGAACGCGGCTCTCACTGCGCACACGCAACAAGCGGTGTGGGGGGGGGGGGGGGTCATCTCCCACCAGCAGACCGACTTTGTCGGAAGAATTCGGTCGAGAGGTGCCGTCTTGGAAGAAGATTCGGGGTGAGTCAGATGGGAAGAGGAGCTGTAGGGTGATGGAGAGACGTTGGTGGGAGGTGGGGGTGCAATGGGGAGCTGTGACTATTAAAAAAAATTGCAAGCAATGAAAAGACATTGATGGAATCCCTCTTTCCCTCCCCCCACCCCGCCATTAGAAGCCAAAGAGATTTTCTCATGCATGAGCTGCTCCATTGACGCCGGGGGGGGGGGGGGGGGCGGGCTGTGGGTAGTTTGTGCCAGCTCGAGAATGAGGGAGCCCAGGGGTGGGGTGGGCGTGGGGGGTGCGCGGAAGAAAGGACGTGGAGAATGAAAAAAAAAGGGTGACCCTTGGGAAAAGGTTCTGTAAAAGTGCGGAGCGGCCCAGGATAAGCTGATGATGATGAGTCAGCTCTCGGAAACCTACAGCGCCGGAATTTGTTTTTTTCTTCAACATCTCGCCGAGTAGAAACGCTGCTTCATCTGCAGCCACATCGACTGGAGACGATGCTACCCCGATCCGCACGCGTTTATCGCCTACGTACACACACGCACGCACACGCGCGTGGGCAAAGCAAGCAAGCATGTGTGCGTGCACACTTAACATGCGCGCGCGCGCTCTGCAGCGTTGGTTCGTCCTTTTGTAAAGTTTGTGTTGCCCATTGAGGTCTATTATTGACCCTCTCCTTCCGCGCGTTTGTGAAGTGATTTGTCTGGAGTAAACGAGGATAATAGACCCTCTTTCTCTCCGCACACAGGCGCGGGTTTGCCTTCCCATTGGCTCCCTCTCATGTGCTCTCTTTCTGCGTGTCTCTCTTGAGTTTGGCATGAATCTTAAACAGCCATTGGGAGTGCGACTTGATTTAATAATTGGCCGCCAAGCCTCTCTCGCGGCAAAGAGCGCAGAGGCGCGGAAAGAGAGCCCGGGTGCGAACAAAAGAACTCGGAATTCTGATCAGGGCTCGCGCGGACTTCATATGGAAATGTGCCAGATTGTTCGGCTGAAAGATACTCTGGTGCAGGAGAGGCCGGGGGGCTTAGCGCCTCTGTGATCACCGCTGTGGAACTGTCGTGCACACTGCAGCCCGGTGGCACCTCCGTCACGACGCCTGCTCAAAGAGTTCCTCTGATGAAGTGCCGTCGCCAGCCACGTAGTGTGGGCAGGGCGTGGAGGAACGGAGGAGGCTACACCCCCCCTCTGCCTTCCAACCCCGCTCTGTCAATTCTTATGGCCAAGTTAATTGGAATATGAACTGGGGTTGCAAAAAATACGAAAATGTTTGAAGTTAATGGATGTGTGCCACCACCTTTCCTCTTGTACAGAGGAGGTGAGAGCTTGGGCAGAATGCACGACGGATAAAATCAGATGGCGTTGTTACTCATTCCGTTTCGTGTTTAACGTTGTACATTTATTTGTTCTCTCATTTAACAACGGCAAAAGAAAAAAATACGGAAATAAAACAGGTGCTCAGAAGATGAGAAGATCTGCATTATTGAATCTCCTGCTAGCAGTATTGCTCGTCGTGCCTTCGCTTCGTTGTTGTTTTGAAACCGCGAGACACCTCAGCGAATTGCCACACCAACGGACACCGCAGACGCGTTTTACGACGACGATGACGACGACTATGCGTGTGATGGCACTCGCTGTCTAGACGTAAATATCCGTGTTTACTGCGACCCACATCACCATTGCCGCAGACGCCAGTGGGTGTCCCCGCGCCGTGCTTTGCTCTCGCCCACATCGTACTGTGGCGCGGTGAAATACGCATCCCGCAGGAAATGTGTGGCCGAGTGCGAATGAGACGATGGCTGGAGACAAGTAGGTGGTCGGGAAAGTGTTTTATGAAGAGCGTTTATCAACAGCTGGAATGTACAACACATCAAACAAAACAAAAGACTGCAGGATCCTTAAAAGAAAAAACCGCAGGCACCATTCGCCCGCATTGAAAGGAGAGCGTTGGGGATTCGGTGTGCCGTGATTGGCGGGGGAGTAAGGGGACAAGTGAAGGAGGGGGGGGGGAGTAGGGAGAGTGCACGGTGCAGATTTCAAAATGTAACGGGCTTGGCTTCAAAACCCCCGGCGACAGCGTCTTTCTGAAATAACTCCCCTGGAATGGAAAGTCATGTAACATTAAATCTGCAAAAATGACTTAATAAGGAAACACATCTGTTCGCATGCATTAGGATTAAGGTAGTGAGTGGGATTGGGGCAGTTGTTAAAAAAAGCAATAATGAAGTGGTTATGGGCACAGAGCCACGTTTTCATGGCCTCATCGGGCGAACGCGCCTTTGACGTTCGTTTGCAGAGGTGGAAACTGCGCGTGGTCACGTGGCCCCCGAATGTTTGAATTTACTTTTTTTTTGGGACAAAGTTTGGTGCCAGTGTTGTTTATTTCTGAGTTGAGTGGGTTTCTTTTTTTTAGCGCCGCGTCAGGCTGCGCTGCCACATGTAATGTTTTGATTTCGACGAGCTACGTCTTTGCTGTTTGTTTTGCATGTTCATTTTAAAACAAAACATTCCAAATCGCCAAAATTGTGGACCATTTTAAACATTTGAAAATAAATTGAGACGTCTGCAGGCGCGTAGATGTTTTTTTTCTTTCCTGAATTAGTTTTTTCATCGGCTCTAAAATCTAAAGTTTTAGCTGCATTATAATTAGTGGGCACATGAGTGATATCAAAGTTGGTCCGGGCCTCATTCCTCTTCACAATCCCGCATTGACCAGTTCGGTCAAGTGTGGTAACAACACTCCTATGACTGGACATGGTGTGGCGAAGCCTTCCTCCATTTATTAATTTGAGAATGTCTGAAAATAATTGTTTTTAGCAGGCATATTTTGTATACGTAAACTAATGTACCGTTAATTGTTATTACAGTTACATTTGTTAACCAAAAAACGTCCGTTAAAAAAGGCTTATTGCCCTTGTTCAACATGTTTTTCACTTAAGGCCACAGTGTTATCGACAAATGCGTTTGAATTTTTGTTTTCATTTAACCAGGATGAAAAACGTGAGTACCTCGGGCACCAGGGAGACGTGGAGGCCGTGCTCATAACCTCTCTATGCCCTCTTGCCCTCCTCCACTACAGACGACGAGGCGCTGGGCGCAGGCTACGTGCGCGAGCGTCGCAATGCCCTCCCCACGCTGGCTCCCGGCGCTCCCGGCCCCAGCTCCTCCAGCTCCGGCACCGGCCAGGACGGCAACGGCGGCGGCAGCGGCCGGACCCGCGAGGAGCCGGGCACGACCACGCATCGCGCCGCGGCGCCGGCCAAGCCCTCCGTGGGGCCACCTTTGTCCTCCTCCACCTCGTCGCTGTCGTCCGAGTCGGCCCGGAGGTCCTCGATGGGACGGTCGGTGCCGGCGGCGGGCAGTCCCGCACGCCGTGTACCGACCGCCCGGGTACCCGCCTCCCGACCCGCGCGCGACCTGCCTCGACTCGCCCTACGGTGAGAGAACGCTCGGCACCGCCGCTGGCACGCGAGGGGGTCCCAGGAGTGGACGGCGTCCGCTGGGCCAGTCTCACGGGACGGCGGTGTCCGCTTCACTGTCCACAGAGTCCACACTCACCGGACTGATGCACAAATCGAAAATGGTTTTCCAGAATAGACCATACAACATGTAACTATGCAATGCCCGATTCACAAGTACAAAGGAGGCATTACGACGATACACTCAGCTGCTCCTGACACGGTTGTCTTGCTTGACCACCTGCATGTGACATTGTAGTTGTTGCTCTGCATCGACATCAGAAGGAGTGGGAATTCATACAGCGTCAAGAATGCACGGCAGCTTAGCATCGGTCATCGGCGGTGATTATTCGATGAAAGATGGCTACCATTGTTGTACGTCAGTATACTTAATTTGTATGATTTGCTTCATTCCATGCTTGTGCTTCATCGCAATCATTAGCCGTAATAAATCCACTGCTAGATGAAGGAATCCCAATGCCGGCACCAATCCATCATGGTCTCATCCACAGTGGCTGACCTCTCTACTCCATGTCTGCAGTGGTCATCCTTCTCGGGTGATTTTCCCTCCTTTAGCTGCCATTCCATCACCAGGCTTGACGATCAGCCGTCATCTATTCGAATGACGTGTACTGCCCAACCTATTTTATATTTCGTAACATTTAACGCGACGTCTCAAATTTGTATGCGTAATACGACCCATGTGTTTTCCCTCGATATTGTTCAGTGTAATTCCCAGCAGGCATTGCTCCATGCTGCTTTGCAAACGTTTCAGCTTTTTGTTGCTTTTTTGTTGTTGTCAGGTTCCACGCATCTTTCTGATCTATATGTCCTCGCAGGTAACACACGCACACTGAATGAAAAGCCTCGTCAAATAGCATTATTACATTTTTACCACATTACCCGAGCATGTTTGAACTCTGCTTCTTGCCACCGCTAAGGGCAGAGATTGATCGGGCTGTTGACCGATGAGCGTTTCAAATCGGGGCTTTTGCCGCTTTGCTTTTACCAGGCCCGTGATACCTGGAAATAGAAAGTTCCCTGCAGGTTTAATTTGGGGAGTCGGGATGGAACACGGACAGCTGTGAGGTCATCAGGCGGGCTGCTGGCAGTTTCAGCTGTTTACAGCCTCGTGTTTAACAATAATAAGAGGCGGGGGGGGGGAATACAAAACTCCAAAAGAGGACATGAGCAGAAAGGAAACAAACCCGCACTCTCTCGTGCCCCTCCTATTGACCGCGTCTAATAACATGACCCCATCCTGCCCTTTGGTGGGTGCCAAACTGAGTGTTTAGCTCTGCCAGCGTTGAAGGTCAGTGCGGCGTGATGTTGTCAGGCCTTGGGGAGGGGGGGGGGGCTTTTATAAAAGAAACTTGTGAGTGAAGCATCACGGCTCATGACCCCTTACTTGGGCCGTTATGACTGTGCGTATGTTGTCTGTGTCTACGTGTGCATGTAAGTATGTGCAAGGGTGTGTCTGTCTATGCACGCATGTGTGTATATATTTCCGTACGTATATGTGTAACTCTTTGTCACTGCATGTATGTACGTGTATATGTGTGTTTGTATGAAAGACGCAGGCACGAAAGGGGGCACAACACGGGGTTTTTGTTAACTTTATGACTTCGGAAATTGGGGCTAGTCGAAGGCTGGGAGCTCAAAGACGTGAGGCCAAGACCCCTGTGGGCAGACTCTGCTCTTTGTTTATCTCTACAATAAGTCCTTCGCGCAGATGGGTTTTATGGCAAATTTTCAAAAAGGCAACGCAAAGCAAAGTGCCGCGGCGCTCGCCCATTCTGACGTAGCGCCTCGCGCGCGGTATGCCAGCAGACGGCCGTGCGCTGCGTGCGTTTCTGATCTCAACACGCCGTATTTTTGTGCGACTTGTAAAGCCGCGGTCGGTGAATCAATTATTTATTTTGCAATCGAGGCGGCCGGCGAAAAAAGGGGCCGATTGAACTGAAAGGCGGCGCGTGCACGTGTGGCAGCAGCGGCGGCGGTTGGCGGCGCGTCCTGGCTTGGCAAGATCGCGGCGCGGGGTTTTTTCAGGGGCTCGCCCCGCTGATGCGCTGCCTCAGCGGGGATAGCCTGGTAATTGGGGTTGGGGGCCATTTTTTGACAGATGCTGTCACGAACTCTGAACTCTGACCCGTACCTCTGAGGGAGAGGAGGGGGAGGTTGGTAAAGGGGAGTGTTGTTTTTTCTCTTTCTCCCACCTCCCCACCCCCCACTTCATCTTGAATTTGCGTCATATTCTGGCAGCACGCCGGAAAACCGCAAACAATTTGTTGCACACGAAGGGGAATTTTAACAGCTTGCACTTATCTCGTCTCGCCGTTGGTTGCTTTTGTTTTAATGGAAAGCGCCATGATGGTTTGTGAGAAATATTCCAAATTGCTCGTTGTGCTATGTTTAGGAACGAAAACTTTGCGAGCTAAAAAAAAAGGAGCCTGCGGATTGTTACAAAAGCTAATGAAGACATTGTGGAGTCAATTGCCCCTGGGGAATGCTGGCTCGCCGTCGGTTTTGGTTTAAGGAGGCTTCGCGGTGTCACTTAGGCATGTCCTGCCCGTGAATTTTTCCAAATGCTAACACGCATAACAACACGCCTGCTCCAGGGAGTCCGCCAAATCAGATGAGCTAGGGTTTACTCGGCAAGCACTGGAGTGCGGAAAAAATATACAGCGGCATATTGAACAATGCCGCTGTACTGAAATGTATCGTTGAAGTCCAATTTTAATTTTTAATCGAAAGCCTTATAAATATTGGTTATATCGGCTGGGCAGTGGGCGGCTGATTAACGTCGCTTTTTTTGCAACGATCGTTGCACGTCGTGCGCCGTGCTTGGACTGCCGTTCTGGCAAAGTCGACCCTCAGCTGCTGGCGCAACTCCGCGTTTAGCGGCGACGCGGAAACTGGATCTGGCCCCCGTAACAGCGAGGCACTAAAAAAAGCCACAAATGAAATACGCAGATTTGCAGAAAAGACGTTCTCGGGACAGGGGAGAACAAACGCCGTGGCTCTGCGCCAAGGGCAGAGTGCCGGTTTGTAAATCAGCCACAAACAATGTTCATCTCTGGCCAAATTTGGAATCTTGGCCTTAACGTGGCAAGGACCCTGCCGGGGTGCAGAATTGAGGAGCGGAGGAGGCTGGTGGGAGGAGCTTTTATAAAGAAATGCGGGATTGGTCGCGTGGGGGCAGGGCCGAGTCTAAACGAGAACACCCACGTTGAGGGCCCCGCCGCCGATCTGAGGCCAAAGTAAAAAACATGTGGGACAGGCTGGGGGGGGGAGGGGGCCGCCTGGAAAGGGGGCGGCGGCAGGCACTGGGGTTACCGCCGCGAGCCGAGGCGCTCTCTTACTGACGGCGGCGTGGTGGACGTGTTGCCGCACGGCCCCTCATCTCCTGCGCTGTCCGCCCGGTTTGTCCCGTCCGCCGTCTGCCCATCCGCACCGTGTCACCCGGGCCGTGTCACCCGGGCCGTGTCGCCCGAGACGGGGATTTAATTCTCACCGTTGCCGTGTGCTCTGGATCGCCGTGAGCCGAGGCTGCTGCTGCGTCTGTCGGTAAGTGGCTCCGATGAGGTGTATCGGCATTTAATCTCATCTGCTCATTTACAAGTGGTTTTTGTGGCAAAGGATGTGTAATTGGCACGATAAGCAAAGGGATTGATGCCAGAAAATGATAACATGAACACGGTGAAACATTAACGCGGCTAAAAATGAAGCATTGCTTGGTTTTGATCGGAATTTAAATCACTGCTTTTGAGTTATATGTTGGCATCTTTTAATTAATCATAATTAATCAAAATCTAACATGTCACGAAATGAATATTTTGTTCATCGTAGCCCGGATGTTTCACCTTTTTGTTCAAGTATGCAGAGCTGGCCTTTTTATTTCAAAACAACGTACAGTTTTTCAATGTAATTCCGAAAGAAAAATCCCAATTCACAAAAGCTCTTAGACTTAAATGTAAGCGTCGACCTGAAGGGGATCTCTTCTTTGTTTTTGGCCAGAAGAAACTTTAAAAAATCCTGCTCCGCTTTCGTAGCGCCAAACCAAACGGAGTGCGCACCACAAGGATGCATTCTTTCCCAGGATATTAAAGCAGAGGCTCAACAAAGGCCTCCTTGTCACCATACGTCTCTGCAGGTTTGCATTGTCACAACCGTGCCCTCAGAGGGAATCGCAAGAAATGCTGCTCTCTGTATTTGCAAAAGAAGGTATCAATTGGCAGGTTTATTGTGGCGTGCTGGCCTTTTATATAATTGTTGAAGAGTGGCTCTATTGCGTTTGCTTTATCACGCCCGCTTGCCAGTGCACACTGAGGACCTGAGGAGGGGGGGGCAGTTTTTTTCTCCACCGCCAGCCGTAAAAATTACTGAGTGACAAGTTTCAAACGACGTGAAGGCTGTCGCCAATTGAAGCACAAATAAACTATGGCCGGCCGCCACCGATCGCTAAAGCGATGGTCTGTCCGACCGCTGTTTGCTCAACTCCAGTGGGCCCCTTCACACGTGAGGACATTTCCTGGGAGCGCAAGCAGGGCTTAGACTTTCACTGTTGCGCGGCCTTGAGGTTGGGGCAATCACCGAGGATTGCCCAGAGGTGCCCCCCCCCTCTCACACGTTTGTGTCTCCGCCTCGTTTTAATGTTGTCCACCCTCTCGAATCTACCAAAGGTGAATCGATTCAACCCTCGCTGTGGGTTCACGTGGTGAAGAGAGTTGTTCTCATGTTCGTGGCTTTGGAGTTTGACGTGTGCCCCCTCTTGTCAGTTCCGAGAGGCAGGCAGGCAAGCGCAGGTGAAAAGCAACAGAGAGAAAGTGCAAGATACACTGTACGATAAGCCACAGACGTCTGTGCCAGACTGATTTGTCTGCGTTGTGAGAGAGATGAAGAGTGTGCCTGTGTCCCTATCAGCCCCATGGATTTATACCGAGTTTCGTGTTGGTGGTGACAAATGTTTGTTATCCGGTGACTTGACAGTGGGGTTGGTGGAATGCATAGAGATTGAACCCATCATGTGTGAGACTTGAATGAGACGAGAGAGCAAAGAGGTTTGTAACCTGTAACCTTGCAATTATAGTGCACGTGCCTCGTTGCATGGTTCTCAACAGGCTCCCCCAATTTCCTCCCACATGGAAAAATATCCAGGGTATTGGTCCATTGCTACTTGATGGGGATTTCCAGTGTAAATAAAGACAATGATTACGTACTCTTTGATTTTTTCGGTAAAGTCACGTAGGTATAATCACGTAGGTATAAAATAAAATTGACTTTACCGAAAGAACCAAAGAGTATGGATTCCTGCAGTCACGAAAGCTTCGAATCACAATAATTACGGTAGTCGTCATCATCAGCCATGCTCTGTCCACTACTGACTGGACCCCCAGAGCCATTGCCATCCCTCTCAGTCTCGTGATGTAACGATGCATCCGGCTTCTGCACGCGAGAGCTAATTTCATCACTTCATGGACGTCCTCGTGAGCGCATTCTGTCCTTTAGCTGCCACTCAATTGTTAGTCTCGACCACCGGCCATCATCCCCACTAGTTACATGTCCTGCCCAAGCCCCTACTTATTTTTCTCAGCAGTCAATGAGATGTCTCGAATTAGCGCATGTTCTCTAATCAATATGTCCTTCTTTCTGTGTCTCAATTTAATCACAACCGTGGATCTCTACGTGCCTCTTTGGGCACTTTTCAGTTTTTGTTCCATTTGCCATGTCGGTTTCCATATTCCTGATCCAAATGGTTACAGGTAACGAAGAAAATTCTGATAAATAAGAACATAGTTTATAACAATTATTCACATGCACAGGCACATTTACACACACG